TTGATGATGGTGATACAAGGTTGATGATGGTGATACTAGGTTGATGATGGTGATACAAGGTTGATGATGGTGATACGAGGTTGATGATGGTGATACTAGTTTGATGATGGTGATACTAGGTTATAATTAGCATGGCAATGAGAAATATAGAAGATTGAACACAACTAGTTTGCGTTTTGAATGATTTTCGTACTTGTGTTATGCAAATAAAGCCACATTTCAAAAACATCCATCGTGATGAAAAGACAGTTTATAGACTGAGAGAATCATTCAATTCACCACCGGCAATATTTAAGGTGGAATGTTTTCTTGCATGTTACTCGAAGCATCAACATAACTTAAATGTTGATATGACAACTTTAAACCGTTCCATCTGTTGTTACTGGCCCTCTTGCATCACATGTCTTTTGTGATGTTTTGATCTTCTTGTTGTTGTTTTGAAGCGCTTAAACAACGGACAATATTCTATTGTGTTGTTCCGGTTCCCTCCGGCAGCACTTTACCTGTGCTTGAGCAGAGATGGCATTACCATGGCAACTCTACAGACATTTTGACACGACTACAGCAAATCGGAACCTTTGTGGGAACATATTACGTGTTGTGTTCGGGGTCCAGACAGAGGAAGCAGTCTGGGTTCAGTAGCCAGGATGTGCTGATCTTAGGTGACCCCATTTCTGGTTTCCTGTAGAGTTGATGAAGTATGGTAGCAGTGGTGTAATGTGATCGGTCCACCGCTAGTGATCCGTGTGTTCTGTCCTTAGAGATCTGTAAAGAGCTGAAGATCATGCTGTTTGATGAGATGCTGTCAAAGCATTTGGAATTATCTGTGGGCTCTTGTTGATCACTTTACCCACACAAACTGGGATGTATCCACCTTTCTGTGCCTCTGTCTGTGTAAACTTCTTTTGTGTGGCCGTCTTTCAAACCCAAATCTGTATTTTCTGGTGGAAATCAACACCAGACAGAATACACAGATGCTAGATTAACCTTTAACTATAACCACCTGAAATTCATTACAATTTAAACCAACATTGCTCACTTGTTTTAAAAAAATTAAGAATCAAATAATGTTATCGGTGGATCTTTCGAAGCCGGATCTCCATCAGATGGCTTTTCCCAGGATAAGGATGCTCATGAGGAAGACCATGATGAAGAAGAGCCACATGAAGAAGCGATCCATGACCTTAGCGACCTTCCTCCACTCCCCGATGCGCAGCTGGCCGGCTCGCTGGTCCTGGTATGAGTTGGCAATGTACTCAACGTTCCTGCGCAGTCCCTGGTGCTGACAAACACAAAGGGTTTTCACCCAGATCTCCCTCCTGTTCTCCCTGGCTCCGCCTTCACCTCCTACGCCTTTCTTTTCCTCGACATGCTCTCCTCCTCCTCCACAGGCACTGTTTGACTCCTCCCGCTCCCCCTCATGTCCTCCAGCAGCTCCTTCCTCCTCCGAGTGGTCAATGCTCACAAACAGATCCTCTTTCCATTCCGTCTGGGTGGTCAAGTCCCGCCCCAGCTTCAGAGACTCCCCGGCCTCATTCTCCTCCTCCACCCTCCCTGCCCACACCTGCCCGTTCACATCCCAGTTTGTTCCTTTGGCGTTGCGGCCGTTGGCTGACGGGGCCTCTGACTCCTCCTGCGACAGAGGCCGTTTCCTGGATGTAGTCCTGCCGAGGCAGTTCTCACCGACCTCGTAGACCAAACAGATGCGGGCGAGGTAGTTAAGGATGAAGCGCTCGGCCCATTTAGGGACGGGACGAGCCTCGGGGCCGCAGTGGTGGATGTTCATGATGAAGATGGTGAGCGCTGTTGATGCAGTGACCATTGTCATGGTAGCAATGTAGTACTTTCCTGTTGAGAAAGGAAATTGAAGTTAATTTAGAATTCAAAATCCATGTAGTTAAATGATTAAAGTCTCTGTTTCTCTCACCAACGCAATATCTTTGCTAGTTAGGAAAGAAGAGTAACTTTGACCCAGGCTGACTTTGTTGTTGTTGACATAGTTATAAATAGAATACTAAATATCAAGTTGAAGAAAAATCACAAGGGCGGCAACTACAAACTATTTTGATAATTGATTAATCTTTTGATTTTCATTTTCATTAATCAATAATTTATAGGTTAAAAAGAAAAAAGTTTAATTATATTATTTCCAGTTGTTGCCATGTTGAGACCAGGCTCTGCCGAGTGAAGTCAAAGCTTCATGTGTTGAAGCTGCATTCTCTCTAGTGTCCAGCAGGGGGCGACTACTCTGGTTGTCTAGAAGTCTATGAGAAAATGACTCTACTTCTCTCTTGATTCAGTCCAAATATGGTAACTTCCGTTCACCAGTTGCAAAAGGTCAACATGGCGAAGACTAAAATCAAAGATGGCGACGGCCAAATCGGCGAGCTCGAGGCTTCATAACATCAGTCCACAAACCAACGGGTGACGTCAGATGGCTACGTCCACTTCTTGTATACAGTCTGTGGTTGAGAGGCGACCAAAATGCTTCCAATCTTGTAATTAGCACCTTTTAAAAATAGCAAATTATTTTTAATAATCCACAGTGTGGATGCAAAAACACACATTTGCTCCTTCAAGTCTAACAGTGGGGGTGCAGCTTTCTGTGAGCAGTACAATCTAAGCTTATGATGTAGTTGAACTATTTAGGATACAACAGTTGTACTCTTTGTACCTCTTTAGTGAGAAATAGCTCAACGAGCTGTCCAGAAAGTGTTTAAGGATTTAACAAACAAACTGCTGCTGGCATCATTGAGACTTGAAGGTTGAGCTTTGAGATCATTGATTCCTGAGCGCTGAATGCCTCATCGACCTGCAGGCCTCCTTCAGTACATCAACACAAACAGGGTGTTTACTGCCAGGCTTCAAACTGTACACAAGAATCCTTACTGTCTATTCAGTTTATTATTCACAAACAGAAAGACAGCACACTCAGAACAATGGAAGATCTGCAACGTTCTGTTCCTGTACAACAATAAACTGTCTCTCAACATCTATAACATTCATTTAGAATTCATTCTGCTTTCACTGACGATCTTACTTTAAAGTTAATTAATATAATAATTAATGGTGAGTTGTGTTTACACAGGAAATGATTTACATACGTTCATCAGTGACTTTAAAACAGAACAATCTGCTGAATCTACTTCTTCACAGTTTCCTCGTTCTAAGTCCTCTTAGCTTCTGATTGGTTAGTTCAGTCACATGTGAGTTAGGACCAAACAAGTGTTGTTGTAAAGCTGACCGAGTGTGACGAACAGTGAAGAGTAAACTGTAAAAACGTTATCTTGCAACCGAAGATACAGAAGGTCCTGTATCTGTTGTTCCATTGATCGTTACGTTGTCTTTTAACTTCCTGTCTGCACCACAAGTGGGAATTTGTCACTTTTAGTAGCTGTAAGATTTGCAGCCTATGATCCCCTTTTCTTTTCTTTAACCTTTAGCAGCTCACAATATATACAATTTTAAATTCGGTCTAAAATATACAAAGAATAGGTTTATGTTTGTGTCTAAGCGAGCCTAGAACGATGTAATACTATCATCACTACGGTGACGCTAAGAGCTCTAACTGTATATTTCACTGAGTTTTTCTATTTCAGAATAACATTTGCTACAATATTAGAATTAGATTTAGAACATCAATGGAAGCGGTTGTACCAGTTTGACAGGATGCAGGATACTGTCGCAGACACAGTGCTGCTGTGATGGAAACACTTCCCCATCACCTGCCTTTGCTGACTGGTTTAGAGAAGAACGTGTTGATCTTTAGTCAGCTTTTCCTGTTTGCCAAGAGTCAAGCACCACATGAAACCTCAGAGAGACCTTTGTAGTGTGTATTCATCCATCAATGAGAGGAACACACAGTGTTAAAACTTAACAATTGTCAGGAATCTGACAAATTTAGAAATAGTTGTAAATGAAGAGCCGCTCTCTGAAGCGCACCCCACGATGATGGCCTCCACGTTTCTGTGTCCAGCTCTCTGACGTATCAAACAGTGTCTCTTTCATGCATTACAAGCATCAGGACCACCACCGGCTTGACTTTGAAACCCCTTGAAAATATTTTTCTTAATATTTTTTGAACAAATCAACAACTCTAGAGGGCCGTGTCCATCAAAGTGTTGTTCTCCAGAGGCCTGCACATGGCCTTGAGAACGCTGCATATTTACACTATGGTACCAAACACCAGCAGCGTGACGAGGCGCTGAGCATCTGTACTGCGGTGAACGCTGCACATTCTGGTCTTTGAGAGTTGAAAAATGTTCAATTTTGGATAAAACACTGCCCTCGTCACTGTCACTTTTTACCCAGTCGTCCAATCACAGTGGAGAAGAGGCGGGACAAATACCACGTAGACCGGCTGGCCCTCCCTCTGTGCTTCATTCTGAGCAAGTACTCTGCCGTGTGCAACATTGTTACATCATAGCAACCAGACGCAACCAAAGCATCTCAGCTGACAAATGTTGCACTTCCAAAGCGCTCTGAAGAAATCCCAGCTGGGCATTTTCAGAGGAGTGCCAAGTGTTTTCAGCTGTGAACAACGCTTTGGTGGACACGGCTTAACAAAACTTAGAAATCAGGGACTTCTGAGTTTTCTCACCTATCAGTGGTACGCTCTCGGAGGGTGGCATGCTCTCAGCCACCAACAACTGAAACACAGTGAGGGCCAGCAGCACCGTGACTCCAAGAGAAACCTTTTCACCAGAGTCAGCCGGCAGGTAGAAGCCCAGCGGAGCCAGAAAGGAGATCATCATGCAGGGGATAAGGAGGTTGAAGATGTAGAAGGAGGAACGTCTCTTTAGATGAAGGCTGAAGGTGATGTCCGGGTAGGGATCTGAACAGCAACCATACTGGATGACATTCTTCTTAGCTGGCATGCCCAGAACCTGGATATAAAGATAATGTGATTTACATTCAGGAACGAGGTCTCGCTTTGAGCACATGAACTAGGTGACCACTCACCTCCCACTCCACATTGGGGACAAAGTCTGCCAGGTCGGCGCTGTCCAAGGCGTTGAACAAGTCCATCTGGTTGCCGTTGTGAGTCCAGGATCCAAAAGTTAGGTGACACTGCTGCAAATCAAAGGGAAAGAAGGCCACATCCACGGAGCAGGAGCTTTTGGTGATGGCTGGCTGGTCCCACATGACCTGGCCATCATTACGGAGAACCACGTTGGTCTCCATGGAGCTGGAGAACTCGTCGTCTGCACTGTGGGGGAGAAAGTGGAGGAAGAGAGACAGAACGGGATCAGAGCAGAATGTGTCAGTCATAACTCAATAACTCTGCCAATTAGTCATTACGTTACATTACATTACAGTCACTGAGCAGACGCTGTTATCCAAAGAGACTTACCGTAAGTGTATTCAACACCGGTATTCAAGAGAACTACTAGTCACCAGAAGTCATAAGTGCATCTCCTTTAAACAAGCATCTAAGAGCATAAACCAGAGCAGACGTACAGAAATAAACTAATACGAATACAATAGTTAGTCTGCTTTTCTGCCAATTTCCTGCAGCCGGGCAGATCGGCCTCACCTGTTATACAGGACAATGTCAGGCCTCCAGACGTAGCTGCTAGGTATGCGGATGGTGTCAAGGCCGTCGTAGTCCTCCTTCTTCCAGGTGAGGTAGGCGTCCATCCACACCTGGCGGATCCACAGGTAGGTAGTCAGGATCTGGTTCCGCTCATCCTGATGAAAAGGACACATCCACATCAGCAGGGGCATGAACACACATAACATGAACATCTGGATCGGCAGACAGGGTATGATTACCATGTCGATGATCTGGGAGAGAGTGATCTGCAGGGTGACGTTGATGATGTGGTCGGTGTCCTCCACCGGCCGCAGAGCGTTGGTGTAGTTGGAGAACAAGTCATTCAGCAGCTTCTGAGCGTAGCGACCATGAGCGGAGAGGCAACCTGGGGCATTCAGAGGGAGAGACATCTTTGTTCAACCACGTAGGTATTTAACACTTATTTCTTAAAAACAAGCAGCTGGAGTTGAACAGCTGCACAGTGTTGGTCAACTCTTGGATCCAGAGCTGGTATGTCAACAACTATTCAGATTTCTATCAGATGTCCTGATCACATTCCTGCTCCCCAGAGGATTAACGTTTTAGATTGATTCCTGTCTCTCTCCACTGGATGTGGAAAATCATACTTTTTTATTTATGATTATAAACCAAATTGAACTGACTACCTTTTTTGTTCCTGTTGGTTAATCGTGTTACTGTTTGAATTTATAATTATGATCTATAATTCAACCTTTATGGGAATCAATTTCTTGTGTTTCATCTCACTTTAGTTGTTTGTTTTTAAAGAACTTGATAGCATGCCCTATTTGTGACTGTCCAAACTTTAGCCAGATTCTTCTGCATATTGCTTTGAGTGCTGTGAGGGTGTGAGTGTGTATAAAGTCCTTTTCTCTTCTCAGTAATTCACTTTTAATGGTGAAATGTCTCATATCTCCAGCAGCACATCCTGCAGCTCAGTCAGTCCCACAGAAGCAGTCTGAACACACACATACACATGGAACCACATTTCCCAGTTCAATTAACCCGGTGATCTGAAGGTTTGACACATTAATCGTTAACGTCTGCAGAACAGCAGCAGGCTGATAATCCCATTAATCCTCAGACTGCTAATGATGGAGGACAGAAGCGATGCTGCTGTGGCTCTGTCCAGTATTCTTTATTGCAGAATGTCTCTTTATGTCAGTAAAAGCCTAAACTATAACAGAATGAGCCAACAAGTCCACAAGTGTAAAACAACACATAATGTAAAGTAACAGATGTTGATGGGACGTATAATGTTCAGTGATGAGCTATTAATAAAGCTAAACTGGTGTGAATGAACAGCGATGCTGCATTTCACTGCACAAAAGATTAAAGAGAAAAGAATAACATCAATAAATAGAATGAATGTAAATGAATACAGCCAGAGTAAAAGAGACGGGAATACAACACAGCAACAAGACGTGAGGATGCACGGTGACTTGTCACATCTTCAGAGTGTGAAACAGACTTCACCTCAACACAAACACACATGATGTGTTCATGATCTAAACTGTGGAGGATAAAAGCTGCTGGTGACTTCAGCATCAGATCAGAGGAATCCTGGAAACAGATGGACAAACAACCTTTGGATGAAGAACGATAATGTGAATATATGTTGTGTCTTAAATGCTGACATCAGATAAAGCTGGAGACTCATCTGAGAGCAGCAGACGAGGCTTCACATGTAATCCTGTAACCATATCAGTAAACAGTGAAACCCTTCAGCAGCTGGATGAACTGTTGGTGACAATCCGTTAAGACTAAGACGTCACGATCAGCTGCAGTCAGTCACAGCTGAGGAATGAAGTCGAGTCGCCAGAGACTCCCTGGAAGGTCCTGGTGGAGTATTTAGTTGGCGGACGCCTTTTAACATGCTTTGGACAGAAGCGTGTGCTAAATGGCTGTAATGTAATGTAATGTCACATAAAGCTGCTGTTTGCTTCAGTGTATTGTTTGGTCTGAAGATGCAGCAGTGCACTCTGGGGAGTCAATGTTTAAGTGTAATTAATGTACTTTATTTCCGACTTACAGTTCATGAAAGATGAATATACAAGAGATAAAAGACCAAAGAATAAAAATAATACAAGTCTTGATAAATGCTTCTGTTCATCACTTTGGGTCTGAATGTAAGGCAATACATTTTCTTTCTAGAAATGACTTCTGAAACAGTGTGGTTGTGTTATATATAAGGACAAGACGATTATCCTCTCGCAGAATCTAATGGAACAGAAGCATTGCATGATGGGATGTTTGCAGCCTTAATGTTGAAGAGATAGTTAGCTTTAAACCCCAAAAAGGAGTTCCTGATGGTTGTGTTTGTGTTTTGCTGATGGAGGCAATAAATGATCGAGGAGTGGAAACCAGTAGAAAGAGTCTCTAACGTCTTCACCTGGGGACAAGAAACACCACGGTCACCGTCATGATGAGCAGCTTCAAAACACCGTCAATCAGAGACAATCATTTCAGTATTCATGTTTCACTTTTAGAGGAGAAAAGAAAGGATCTGTTAGTATCAAACCTCCCTCTCCAGTCTGATCGTCCTTCATATCTTCAAACAGCTGTTGGAGAACAGAGGTTCATTTCATAATCCGGGTTTTTAATGTATGTTCAGCTCAGTTAGCATCAAGCAGCGATGCAGCAGTAGTCCAGAAGTTCAGCTCGGTTTATATTTGTGAGTGGCATCGTAAGAAGCTAGAAAACAAGTATAACCAGCAAAACATTAGATTTGGCTGCAAATGATTTACTCAAAGTAGATTTTTGACGCCTCCTGTTTCTAAAAGCTAATTTGCCTTCTTTATGAAATCCTCTTACGTGTTGATGGTGTTTTAATGGTGTTTTTATCAGTGAACTATTTGTGACAGTTACGTCTGAAGAGCTCCAGTGCCAAAAACTCAGAGGTCCACGACTACGTGAGGATGTGATTAAAACAGAACATCAGCCGCTCTGTTGTGACACGTTTTCACGCGTCTGCTTCACATCTGCAGCAGCACTGATGTTCCTCAAACACAAGCCCCTCCCCCGCATGTCAGTGATTGGACAAAATACACAAAAATGATGATACAATAGTTTTTGATAGTTCTTTCGAGTTCGTCCAGTATTTCACACGTGTTTTTATTTTCTGCCTTAACCCCTTCATTATCTTTTCACCACATTTATCTTCGTAGGATTATCGTATGAAAAAGTTCCTCCAAGAAGAGACATTAAAGAAACAGAGACTCACATGGAGGTTTAACAACATGCCTGCACAAAAAAGGAAGCGCACAAGAACACCGTGGCCTTCAGATAACAAGAAGAGAATACATCACAACGCTACGACTGGAGAGGCAGAGTGTTAACATCCTCTGGACAAACATGGAAATGTGGAAGTGAAGCTCTGAATCTGATAAGAAGTCTCATTCTGAGAACAGATCCTCTTCTGCTCTGCTGACACACACGTACCTGATGGGTTCATCCATCAATCGTGTCTTTAAACCATAATTCTTCTTAATTCTGTGTTTTATTGCCAACAAATCTCATAAAGTCCTTCAGGACCAAAAGCAACACCATGGGCCTTTCTCAATACCCAAGTTCACAAGTTCAGAGAACGCAGTACAGACAATAGGAACAGCAGCTTACTTGATGACATCACCACCTCAGCTGGTCTTGCTAATGAGTTTAATCCGTTTTTTTACTGTAAAGTATTTTTACAATCAAACTAAATATGACAACCCTGCTGTTTTCGTTTTCATTTAAAATAAAAAATTATATATTATTATATAAGTGTATTATATTATATTTATATATATGTGTATATATATATATATATATATATATATATATATATATATATATGTGGATCAGATCTGGATTGCTGTACTCTTTGCCGACGAGGAAAACGCTACAGAGACGTCAATACCAGCGGCAAGTTTCAAAAAGACTCGCCGAGATCAGGCTGCTCTAGACGGGCACCGTGAGCGCTGAGCCCCCGGTGCTGGTTTACTGCCGGTCCCGCTAGCAACACCTCACATCTCTGAAATCGTCAGAGCAGATTTTTAAATCGGCTGAATCTTGACAAACCGACCACAGATTTGATGCTATAACAACTAACTTCTCGCCTCAAAACATCCTAAAATTACTTTCTGTGACTCAACAACAGTAGTATTTCGAAAGTTTCAACTTCCAGTTGTGTGATTTCTCCTCCGCCATTGTTTCCTGTTGCAGGTGCAAAATGCATTCTGGGATATTTGGCTGTCCCAAGTACAGACAAGTCACCTCCGATGCATACCCGGTAAAATGGGTGGAGCCACATCCGGGCATTTGGACCGTGCTTGGCTTGATGTGAACTTTAAATTGGAACAGTACTTGGGCTGAGACTGATGACGTTTCAAAAGTCCACGAGTTCACAAGTACAGAGAAGTATGCATATTGAGAAAGGGTTCATGTTAGTCCATCAGGTAATACCGTCTGACTTCCTGTCTGTCTCTCAGTTCCAGGCCCATTGGTTCCTACTGAAGACGTCAATCTTTAAAAACATACAATTTCATCAGTAATTTCCTAAAGCAGGCGTTTCAATAGTATTTTTGTGTGACATGTTCAAACAAACAACATGTGGTTCGACGTGGCTGCAGTGACAACAGTCTTCCTGCCTCTGAGTCCAACACCTTCTTCCCAGGCATGATATCCTCACATCTACAGACCAGCTTTCCTCTTAATGTGACACTGTATATACAGACTGCTGACAAAGGAGGAAAACCCACAGTCAGAGTCTTAGTGAGCTGTGGGAATGACTTCAGTGTTCCTGGTCACAGACGGGGCTACGAGGCTTCATGTAGACCTCTGATGGAGAGATGAATACCATTCTTCCAAAATATGTTTCCTTATTTGGTGTTAACCACCTACCGCCTCAATAGCTACAAGAACCACCCTGAGGAACCCTTCATTCTCTTTACGGATAACGTGAATATTTTAAATGAAAAACTTTTAAAACTGCACTGAAAACTCATCTATTTAAATCTGCTTTTAACCTGTAAAGTCAGTTCTGTATGTTTTTCTTCTTCATGTTGTTCCTTACTGTTATGATGTCATCTTATTGTAATTACTTCTATTGTTTTTACCATGTAAAGTGTCTTTGAGTACCGTTTAAAGCGGTTTACAAATAAAATGTATTATTATTATTATTATTATTATAATAATAACTCCTCAATTAATACAATAACTACCTAAAGGACCCCTTGAACCACCTCAATGACTAACCTCATCAATGGCTACAGGAACCTTCTAAGACTTCTAGAACCCCCTCAATGAGCCTTGGAACCTCTCCAGTAGCTACAGGGACAACCTAAAGGACCTCTAGAACCCACTTCAGTGATGACTTGCGATACAATATACTTAATTGTCCCCTGAGGGAGAT